GCATTCCTGAAACATAAGGTGCCCAGAAGATGCCTGAAATGCCTTCAGCACCAGAAGTCTTTGACCTAAGAATAGGTCCCAAAGAGGCAACTGCTGCTGGTCACCAGGCCATAGGAGCAAAAAAGTGATTTGGAGTTGTCTTTCTTCATAACCTGAACCTGACAGCCTTTCTCCCGACAAAATAACAAATGAACATTTCTCACAAAGCAAATAACAAAGTATGGTACAAGGTTTTAGATTGGTTTCACTAACTCTTCTATGTTTGATATTTCTAACTCCTAATGGTTAGTTGACAACATGCAGTCCTAAAAACGAAGACTAAAGACATGCAATAATGACATTTATGCCTACCTGAATGTAGTGGAACTCTCTCCAGGTCAAAGAGTGACTGACAGATGGGATTGATGTTATTGCCAACAAAGCCAGCAAAGCAAGTCCTAGAATTCCTAGAGATACATAAATCTCCATTCTCCAAACATCGTGTTCAATCCAGGCATTTTCTTTTTTTTGTTTGACCTGCCAAAACAACACTTATTTAAAATGACAGACTGACACACTTAGCTGTTTGTGTGAAATACAGATATTTTCACCATAATATGCAGGAGATAAGCCAAGAAACACAGTAGTTTTGCTTGCATAACTCCGAATGTAACTGCTATTTACTTCTGAAGACAGTGTCTCCACTGGTATCTGTAGCGCAAAGGTGGGCTTTAAGTGAGAAGAACTTGGACTTCATCAGCATTTTGGCCCAGGACAGACTGATTCTGAGGCCTGTTAGCGTGCCCTCACAGCAGGAGAAATCTCATTCTTTGACAAAAAAAAAATCCATCTACAGATAAATACCATGGCTAGGAGATTATAACAACAGGAAATATATTAACAGCACCATTTTAGGGAGCTAACTCAGCAGGCATTCTTAATAATGGTAACCTGCCAGGACATTTATTTGGCTTAATTTTTTTAAAAACAACAACTAGGTACATTCAGTTCCACTGAATAGTAGTTATGGATGAAAAGGTTGTGATTTTAATAAAATGATGTCAAAGCTTGTCACATTTATGACTACTTGCAACAGCTCTTTGATGGTGCTAGTGATCACCATGCTGTAATATGCTCCAAGTATGGTCGTTTCTTCGTCTTCATGACTGGAATCTCAAGGAAATTTCTGGCAATCAAGTCAAGTCAGATTACCAGTAAGGCTGACTTCAGTTTCCAACAGTATTTTGATTGTTTACAGAATTCATAAGAAGCTGCTAACATCACACTTAAATAAAATTAGCTCTGACTTTGAGGATAATAAAAAAATGTACATTTGCCATCTATGCCTTATATTGAAATTTTCCTTACACTGCAATACTCATGGCACTCAAGGCAGTATAAGGAACTTTCTAGTTACAGAGGACCTTAGGGAGCTTTGTCAGACAGTTATTGTCTATGACTAAGAATCATGACTGGAATTATCTTTTTTAACAAGTTAGCGTGCGTCAGCCCAGTGGTGGAGCCACTGATGTTCACAAATTTAGTTTCTGGTAAATAAATTGTTGATTTAGCTCAGCCCTCTTTCATTGCTGGTTAATTCACTTTACAAAGAATATGCCTAAAATTATGTGTGCCAAGCTTTTGTAAATAGTTACGTTCCACAGCTGGAATGATTAATCCATGCTAAACTAATAGTGTGCCAAACACTTAATGTTCCTGTCAGGCAGGTATAATTATGTGCATTTTACAGAGAGAGAAAAAATCCTAAATGAAGAAAATGACTTATTTAATACACACTGCCACAGCTGTGATGATTCCTGACTCTCTAGTACACGCTTTAAGAACTAGGTCCTGCTCCATTGCCTAACAGTGCTCTGTGGGGATCTGCTTCAAAATCAAATGAAGGCAATGAAAATGGCTTTCCCTCCCATCCAGATTTGCTTGCATGATCCAAACACAGATTTTCTGAATCCAGAAGTGTTGGTGTTTGCATATCCATCATACCTGCTGGAATGCCCAGTTCAGCAGCTTGTATCTGTATGATCTTCTCATTGGATAGCACAGGCTATAGCAGGCGTGCATTGCAGCGAAGAGGAAACTGAGAAGTCCAAATTGCTTTCTTGATAACATCCATCTATCCAACCACTGGGGAAACCTTCTATACTTGGTGCCAAAATACAGCTGGAAACCAGTAGCTAATATTCCTGGTAAATACACTAGTGCTAAAAGGGTAATTGAAACTACTGGCAAAACTTTGTTCGTGACAAGGATTGGAATTTTATAGAAAACGTTTTCCTTTCTGGTTATAAAAGGATGTACAACATCTCTCACAGATGTGTAAATAAACGTTAATAATGACATCACAGACGCTATCTTCATTGGCAAGTGCCACTTGGGGAACAGATCCTGCTTGCAGTGTTGTTCTGAAGGGTCTTCAAACTCACCAAAATGCTGTGCTTGATGTAAATTAAAAAGTGTAGCTGCTTCTGGTGGATTGGTGACTTGCATATCTACATTCTGGAAAGGACAGAAAGGAAAAATCAAGTGAATTCAAGAGAAGGTTAAAAATTTCAGTAATGACAGTATTTGCCACCATGACTTTTACACCATACTGCACTGCAACTACATACAGAACATGCACGCTATTAAAGATGAGGTAGCTTGAAAATAATGTTTCAAATGGCACAGTCAGTAGCTGAGCAAGGCACTTTTAGCATAGATTTCTCATTTGTCATTCATTGTCTGTGGTGATTTTAATTTCAGGAAGTTAACTACACCCTAAGGGAAGCTGGATTACATTATATGAAGCATCATTACAGCTTCTTATGATATGAGCTACAGATTTCAGATGTCAAATTTCAGCTATAGACTTAATGATACAGCCCAAATAATATGCACAGTATCAGAATCCACAGTGAAGACAATAAAAAATTCATTCTGTCACTGCTATTTTAATGACACTTAATTGATGGAATAAGGATGTAAGTAAAATCATAGAATCATTAAGATTGGAAAACACCTCTAAGATCATCAAGTCCAACCGTCAACCCAACACTACCATGACCACTAAACCATGTCCTGAAGTGTCATGTCATGTCATGTCATGTCATGTCATGTCATGTCATCAAAAGTACCAAGTACATTTTTTGAACACCTCCAGGGAAAGTGACTCCACCACTTCCCTGGGCAGTCTGTTCCAATGTTTCACCACTCTTGAAGTAAAGAAATTCTTCCTAATATCCAGTCTAGAACTCCCCTGGATCAACTCAACCCCATTTCCTCTCGTCCTATCACGAGTTACTTGGGAGAAGAATCCCACACTACTTGGAAAGAATCCTGCGTATTTGACAAATATCTGACAAATCCAGCATTAAGTCCTGCAGTCTTCTTCCTCTCCTTCACAAATGTAATAGTGTCCTCTTAACTTTTATGAAAACTTGTGAAACTGAGTCACTTCAGTTTAAAAAGCTGAATTTTTTGCGGCTACGTAGGCATGGCTTGGTTCTCGTCTCACAGAAGATCTTGGCAACATTATCACAGACTTTAGAAAGAGCTAAGCTTGTATAAAATGTTAGTGTAATATTATAAAGTGTTTTACACTGAGGCAATATATTTAAAGATTGTCCCATAGTTACAGTTCATGGAAGAAGTACATGATCACTATACACACAAAATTAAAACATGTATCGACAGCAGGATGTAGATGTGATGCAGGAAACAGCTGTCCAGGGGTGGAGAACTGAGAACTCCTAACATTAGTAATACACATGGAAATCCTTTAATGTTCCAGTGAACTATAAAGTAAAACTGAACTCATGTTGCAATGACTCAGCTTTAGAGTGACTGATGTGGCAGATGTCCAGATCTCCAGAAAGCAAAATGGCACTGTCCATTTTGAGGAATATTAGTGCTTTGAAAACTGTATGTTGGTGTTCTGCTAGGATACAGGAGATCTTCCTATCTCAGCAATATTATCTGGCCTTATTGTTAAGAATCAGACATTACATTGAAGTTGATTAAGCAGCCAGTTCAAACAATGTACTACTTGTAAATAATGCACGGGTAAGTGGGTGCACGTTTTGTGTTCACCTTCAGTGACACATTGTGGGGTGTTTTTGTTTTGTTTTGTTTTGTTTGTTTTTTTAACAGAGAGCTAAGAAATGTACACTGCTATCTTGTGGTAAAATACTAATTGGAGACAAGGTTGCCTGTTTCCCCCATGTCTGACTGACTTGCTTAGAGTGCCTCACAGTAAAATTAAAGGACACAAATTTTTTTTTACTAACAGCTACTACATGTTTATCTGATGATAAAAGTGTACCTTTGTAACAGTGAAAGCGCAGCCTAAGTAACTTTTGTTCTCTAGCCTGTGAGGAAAAGTAGAGTGTAGTCTATGCAGTGCAGAACTGAATGTTGGTAGAAATTATAGATTCACATCTGAATTTCACCTAGGGACACCTGTTTCTTGAAGAGATTCTGTAAACCCTAAAATCAGTATTTCACAGCCTGTGAGACAGTTGACATTAGAACAGAAAGTTGTAGCTTGAGCTACTGTGCAGCAACAGTAACAGAAGCAAATGCTGTTAGACTGAATTTTTTTTCTGAGCTTTTTTTTGTGTGATGCTGAAAACTTACTGAATGCAATGTGGCAATTATGAAAAATCTTCCAAAGATAAATTTTAAATTCCTGTATAAAAATCCCAAATTATTTCAGCAGAGCCTTTCTCATCTGGTAAAATGCAACTAACTAACCTCATGTAGTTTTCAGCTGGCCCAAACTGTTATTTTTTTTTGCATGGACTGTGATTAAATTGAATGAGATGCTCTTTATCTTTTTATCTCTTCATGCCATTACTGTGGCAATACTTCAGAAGTATTGATGATATGCCATTGTGATGGGAACACTGTTTCTGGACAAAATCAAGTGAAAGACTGCAATATTCTGTGTGACTTATTAACTGTTTTTTTTACAGAAACATTACCAAATTGCTAAGGTTTCCTGTATTTCTTCTGGGCATGATGCTCTGACCTGCATTCTGATCAATGGCATGATTATCACCTTTCCTCTTCTCCATTGTGTAAACTCCCTGCAAAACAAACACAGGATGTAAAACAGGGTATGAAATGCCCTGCTGGAACTTTGAAGCCTATGTTCCCTCAGAATATTTTCTTCCCACTCCTCTGCCCATTTGCTGGAGAAGGTATAATAACCTAGGGAAAGGATAGTCTGTTCTGAGAAAAGAACAGAAAAGCTCAGCTTGTTCTTTAAGTAAAGCATAGATTAAGAGAAAATATGAATCAAAAGAACAAAATCACAGAGGAAAAATAAGCTAAAATGCTCATATTGCCAGTGGAATGAATGAATTAATTCAGGCAGAAATTTTTAAATTGCAACAATGAAGTTTGAAAAAGCTTACAGAAACAACATGTTAAATGTTATGAAGATGGATTTTAGGAAGTTCATGAGACTTGCTGAGGCAAGAAACTCATGCAAAATGAGTGTTTCCTAATGTTTTGTTTAGGTTGTAGGATTTAGGATTGGTCTACCTGACTAATCTGTGGCTTTAGAGGTATATTTTCCCTTTGAGATTGTCAGGAAACTCCATCTGGAGCTTCATTCATGCTGTTCCGTGGTACACTGGCAATGCTCATCACCCACACACACACCAGCAGAAATGGTTCTAAGCTACTGTAAACTATAAGAAATCAGAAGCCAAAAAAAAGAAAAAAAAAGGGAAGAGAATGGATAAACTGAAAGAGATGTTTCTGAAAATCCTAGGACAGCAGCACAGACAGTGTCTTGAAGGCTGTAAAATAAATACAAGGACTGCAAGGACCCTGCAACAAGGACTTCCCATGTGTGTGCACCACACTGTCGAGCCCCGCAGGAGGAGGGGCACTACCACCACACCCCTGGAAGCTCGGGGTGCTGCAGCACAGCACGACTTTCTGTGGCTACCTTTAAGACAGTGGCTAGGTAGCTCCTCCACGTATTTTTGAACAGCTGAATGAGTAGATATAAAACTGTTTTGCTAATTACTGATTCTTTTATATCCATAAACCTTTAGGAAACTTTAGGAAACTGGTATGGACAAATCAGACTTTGAGTTGTCCTTTTTTTATTGTTTCTGGTTCTTTCAGTGGGTCTGCTTTCTGCCAGGCCACCAGGCTGACGAAGCTGAAGTTTTCTTTTCCTAAGTGTTTTTCTTTGGATTTTTTCCCTCCTGCCAGCAAACTCTCCCTTTGGGCAGAACCTTTCAGCCAAGTGTTTCAGAGGAGGGTCAACAAGAGTGTCTTTCTGAAGGTCAGGCTGTTAATCCTTTCCTAATTATCCTGCACACAAGAAAACATGGGCTGATGGAGGCACATTTCTATTTTTCACCCCTCCTCCTAGGGCCAGTCCCAGTGATCTTATCACAGGTTTCTGTGTCAGATATCTTCATAAAACTTCAGGTCGTCTGCCTCCCACGATTAGTTAATAATTTCTACTTCTATATGTTTTAATATACTGTGTTTGTAGCTGTTAAAATGGCAAAGAATAATTTATAAACAGAACTCAGTATAATGTACTCACCTGGAAAAAAAACAATGACAAACATAGTGAGCTCCAGATCTATTTTTAAAAGACCTCAGAATATGAAGAGCAGTCACCCTGTTTTCGAGGCATACCCTCTGATTTTTAAAATTTGATGCAGAGGAAAAAAAGGATGTAAACTTAGGGACTGATTTTCAACTCTTCTAGGTAATCACATTGACTTCTTAAAACTGTTAAAACCGCTTGTTGCTCAGATCTTTGCTAATTTTTTTTTTTTTTTTTTTCTGTACTGATCTCTGTTGAGCTTTCTACTATTAATATCACCAGTCTATATGAGCTTACACAGTGATCCTATTCACTTCATAACTCAGCTCTTCTGACTACCACACCATTGTGGGTGTCCAAAAGCATATTTTAGATTGGGAAGCTCTGTGTGGAAGAGCTTGACCCACCTGATTCTCATGCTGCTATCACTCCTCATTTAGAAAATTTAGAAAGAAGAATCCCATAGAGTCCTTAAGCTCCTAGCTAAAGGTTTGTGTTGATCACAACATAGTAAGTGATACCATAATGAGCAAAAAAAATGCCCATGAGCTAGAATGTCAGCTGCCAATCCTAAAAGCCGATTTGTCAGTTCTTTCAGGAAACAATATTTAATACAATGTTAAATACAGCATTAGTGGTTCAGTCAGCAGAAGACAAAATAGAAAAAAAAAAGAAAGTGTATCTGGACGAATGCATGTGCTCACCCATGGAAACAGGGGTTACAGCTGTGAGACTGCAAGCAAGGAAACACTGGTGCCAGACCATAATAGTCCACTTGTCTTCTGATACCAGAGTTAACACAACAGTATTTCCAATAATGAAGTACAGTAATAGTCTTGGAAAAATCTAAATGCAAGGCACTTATAACTCCTCTAAGTGCCTTATGAATTGCCAGAAGGGAGTAATCTACAACATGTATCATTTTGGAATACATCTGAGGAAAAAACTTCAGGAGTCCTGCGAGAGACTGAAACTAATCAGTTATAGCTCTCAGTCACAATTGCTATGAAAGAAAACAGTTGTAGCAATGTCCATCCTCAGTGCACACCTCTTCTGCTCTGGGAGGCAGCTGTGAATGAGGATGGAGGAGGTCCAGCTGCAGAGAGCCAAGTTTCCAAGGCCGTGAGCACGCTATTGCATTTTGTACTGAGCAAACAGGCTCACTGTAACGCTGAGCCGAGAGGGACCCGCACCGCGCAGGCACGATCCCGAGGAAACATCAACCGAAGTCAACGAAGAGGTCTTCCCCAGAGTAACGGGTTTCAGGGCTGGCTCCGCCAAAAAAAGAGAAACGGGTACAACAAGCAGGGTACGGTACTAACGCTTGAGGTGGAGGAAAAGGCACGGGACAGCAAGCGCATCCCTCTCCGCTGGCACCCGGGCAAAATGACCGTCTGGAAGCGTTCGGGATAACCGTCACGCTTGCCAAGTGCCCGCTGCGCCGTGCGGGACGGTCTGCGCACCCCGCACCCGAAGGACTTCCCCTCCTCTCCAAAAGCCCTGCCGAGCGCCGTGGCACGGCCGGCAGCCCGGGCTGGGAGC